GTGCTTGCAGCCATCTGATAAGATAGCCATATAATTCAAGAAGTTAAGCATGAGAGAAAAATGGGGATTTCAGGTGGTTGGCGCCCGAATGTTGCTACAAGAAGCCATTGTTCTCTAAGAAAAGTGATGTGTGGGCATTTGGAACATTAATGTTTGAAGTGTTCTCAAATGGCAGTAAGGTGATTCTTTGGAATCGCAGAGCAAGTTGATATATTTCCCTGATAGATTTTCACCTTTCAGCCTTTTCCTCGACTACGAAGATCTGGCAATAATACGGGCCAATACGGAAAAGCTGCTATGCCTCCACCACCACCTGGTACACCCGTGCTAGCAGCTAGCCTTTTAAAGCAGATTTGGTCAGTTCAGTTCGAAAAATGCGGATGAAAAAGTGTACAGAGAAGGTGGACGTCTCTGGGATGTGCGGTATACTCGAACTGCTCTTGGAGACGTAGAAGAGTTCTAATGCGGTTATGGTCCTCGCATTAAATGAGGATAAGCAAGAGGGACTGAGAAGCTGATCATAGAAGAATTGTTCTCCAGGTGTGAACGTGGCAGATTTGACCGAGCGTGGTAGATTTATGCGTCCAGTGAAGGTACACAGCTATTCCTGTAAGGCCCATGTCAGACTTTGCGGATTGGAAAATGCTGCTAGCGAATAGCTAGTAGCGATTCGCTCAATTCGCACAGTCGTACATGGGCCTAATAAAGGAGGATGTTACGATAATGGGATATGGGATAAGGGGAGGTATACACACTGCAAAAAGACGTCAGACCCCGAAAGTGAGTAGATACATGCGTTCCACGGAAGGTGGTTATCGCAGCGAAGGGTGACCGTGATGCTGCCGCTGCTACTGGAAGGGCTCGGGTTGTGGCTGGAGAGAGGCCTGAGCAATGTGTCGATAACATGATCTACCCCTAACCTCGGAGCAAAAACGCAGTGGGGAAAGTGGGTGATGATCTGTTTTCTTCCGTCTTTGAAGCAGCAGCCCACGAATGTGCACGAGTTACATACCTCGTCCATCAGGTTACAGTAGTCGCCATCAGATCACTTTGTAAGGCGATCAGCGCCACTGTCGCGCAATTTCGGACGCAACAGCGGCATGTACAGGGTGGCTGAAAAGTTACTAGACGCGACTTGGACCGCCTGCTGGCAAATTAGCCGCCGAGCTATCTCTTTCGGGCAATGATGCTCTTGGAACTCTTGGCTCCATAAGTTGCTTGGGCCAAAGTTCATCTGAACTCCCACTATCACGTTTTCTTCGCTTATTTCCCGCTTAGTTCTCGACAAATCAAATCAAGAGACTGCCTAAGGACGGTCTCTGAACTTGCGACTCCGCAGAGCGATTCGATATTCCCTCTTCTACTCTTCAAAACATCTTCGCTGCTTGCAAGGTTCAAGTGCACATTACTGGGATCGCAACAAGTGGAGGTTAAGAACTGCGCACACTCAGGAACCGTTTCTGTCTATGCTGGTTTTGATTGGAGCAATCCGATTCAAATCAACAGATAGTATGCAAAAGTTTCTGGCGACCTCAAGGCGTGCCGCACCTCGCTTACCATTTGGATTGATGAGAAAATTTTCGCATCGAACTTTTTAGCTCCCGTTCAGAATTAGAGGCAGTTATTGACATAAACAGGGTAAGTCTCCGGAAAAACGAATGATTCATAACAGACTCTCTTTGAAAAGAGTGATAGTTTGGGACAGGGTAACATGCAAAAGTGAAGCCCCACCGGTGTTCATTTCCAGAAGACGTTTGAATTAACTCAATTCTGGGATAGACGACGATGAGGTGCGACACGCTTATTGCTCTAGATCCATGAGCATTCTGCTCAATGGCCGTTTGCTCTCCAATGAAAGTGGGCATCCTGATACGTTGTCAGAACGTTCAAAGCCATTATGGACACGCACTTCCCCAGCCACTGAAGCAAGGAATTGTGACCGTCTTTCTGAGAAGCTTTTGACTTCGTGGAGATGTCAGAGATCAAAATATCAAGGAATTTCTCCTGCTCCGCGGATACTCTGAAGTTAGCGCTCAAGAAGATGCAGGGACGACACCGCCCTTGGCTATTTACGGTGGACTGCTGATTCTGTCGTTGGAAGTCAGACTGCCTCTCTAAAAGCAGAATCGTCAAACTTGGAGAACTCTTTATCCTTAATGACAGATAACATAACTCTATCCTTTTATAGTTAATTTGTTAATAGAGTCTCCTTGACTTTACACTCAAAAACGTGGCGTCTATACTTTTCAGCCACCATGCGTATGATACCCGTGGCTCTCTTTAGTCAATGCGTCGTTTCTATGCATAACTAGTTAAAATGATAACATTGGTGCATGTGCACTCTTCTAATTTCAACTATTCATTTCAGGATTCTGAAGGCAGAATATCGGCCAAATTTCCAAGAAATTGGAAAAGCACTCGTCGATATTATACAGAAGTCTCCACCGATTTTACCCAATCAGATGGTCGTCAACCAATTAAAAGGAGTGAAAAGAGAAAAAAATTTTGTAAGTGGAACCCAATAATATTTTCACTGAAATTTTGAGGATGAGTATCTGATATGGCTTTTTGGCTACTTCAAAAACAATAATGTGAAGTGAGTAGTTTCCAATTCCTTTCATAAAATCTCGTCTTTGTTAACGTACTTTTGGGGTTATAATGCTAGCAATCCAGAATTGGCATGAAGTGGTGCCATTCTGTTTCCCCTTCGGCCGGTGTCACTTTTGCGGATTCAGCGAATCGCAGAGTACTAGAGATGCACCAGCGATTCTGACGAAGCATCATCGACTCGACAGTACGGGAATGTCGTTCGAAACGCTGGCGTCTCGCTCTACCCCGCGATTCGCTGGATTCGCAGTTTGTCACCTGCTTTTGGTGAGCAGGATTTCAATGCACATAGGATCTGGTCGAAACGTCGTGCGACCCCTCCATATTTCAAACATTAACTTGGTGTGTCGGGTTGTCAGTCGGTTCACTGCGAGTTCAGGAGCGACAGAATTCGTGCGTCAATGATTACAGGAACCAGGGTCAAAGTTGTGTCGAAAGCATGGTTGCAGCAATAGACCCCTTCTAAGATCGGGGTCTTGGTTCGACTTCCGTAGCTCTGATTTATGTGAACAAGCAAATTTATTATACATACCTAAAAGTATGTGTGATTCAAAGAAAATTGTGGTTGTTGTTGTGGAATAACCTTGTGAATAGCACACAAAGTTAGCCGCGCGACTATTTCCATGACACATGTTTTTTTATACACGATCTCTGGGTTAGATTATCTGGAGTCCCTCCTAAAACCTAGGAACTCTACAGACTTTTTGAAAAGCTACCACCCCTACATTTTGTAGCCTTTGAACAAGTTGTGTTAGGCTAGGATGAGATGAATTCGCTGTTCACTAAAGCATTATCAAACTGCTACCAAGAATCGTTAAAATTGCTCTAAAAGCCCTCCACTCAGAGAGGAAGTCTCACAAACTGCGTCGAGGACGCTGAAAACTTCATGCGACTTCTATTGTTCAAAATATCTCTCTAATTTTTGTGGACTTGAAATAAGGATGGTAGTTCTTGGAAGCGAAAGATTTGCATGATCGAGGGTCTATCGAGGAAGATTATTCGGCAACTCAAAGTTGGAGGGTTGTCCAAACGGCCGTTGGCACCCTCGAAAGTCTCTAGCATACATTTTCTAATTTAACGGAAAAAGGGGCGATATCGCCATTGTTTGATGTCGTCTCGGTATGGGCCACGCATCCGACCTCCACTTATAATTGCAGAATTATTTGAACAGTGTTATGTGATAGTGACCTGTTGGGATAACTGTATTGTGGTAAACACACTTCCTAATACCTATAAACTAAATAGCAGCTTCATCCACAGAGAACTTCCACATCTTCTTTATCATTCGTTTACTTATTCAAATACGTCTTTACATAGAGCTAGAGGAATGGAGCGACATAATCTGCAAAAACACATGTTTCCTAACATATCTTCGTTTTCTGCTGCTTTACACTCTTCCCTCCATCTGCACCATGAAGCCACCTAATGTGCTCGCTTACTCGCCCACACGATTACGGTCCCTCTACTACCAACCGTAAACACAGATGCGACCTATCCTGTCGAGATTTCCTCGGACCGAAAAAAATTTCCCTGGACGAGTTCCATTCAAACTGTGTCCTGCAGGGATTTCAGATTTGGTACTTTTCTAAAAAGAGTAGTGAGTTTGCTGAAGAGCTAATCAGCACTGAGCGTCTTGAAGAGACCAGCGAATATCTTCGAGTAGCAGATTAATGTTTAAGTCCCGAAGCCCGCCTGTGAGTGCGCCGGCTTTTTTGAGGCGTCTCACACTCAGTGGCTGCCTGATGACACTCATAGGCTCCCTTTGGAAACAGCACAGTTGCCGACTCTTCAGGGAGACAAAACGAACAATTTGCCGCAATTTCGGGCCTACACACTGTGAGAAGCCCATGGGAGTAATAGGTACATATAAAATAAATCGACCAATAGCACAAGTAGAAACTATTCGGGCTAGTGCCAGTCCAATATAAGAAGTTGTTGCGGCCGAGATACAGTACCAAAAGTAATTTCATTCATGTTTGTTTCTGTGTGCATTTCTCGTCATCATAACTGTTTCTGTGAAACCCTTTGTGTATACATGCAAAATTTCATAGAAACTTTGGTTTTCTTTGACAAGTCAAGAGCCGGAACTATGGAACTTATTGTGCTCATCTGCAGTCATCTGATATCTTATCCGCGACAAATCATTGAGAATTCCACGATCGGAGATCAAAGAAGGGAAATTATAACCTACTCGAAACGCACTACAATACCGGCTACTAAATTTTTGTTCAGTCGACGGTTCTGCATAAACCGCGGTCGAGGCGGAAACCTTTTTTTAAAGAGTATGGGCGAGCGACCGGGTTGTCCGAAACCGTCGCAAACCGTCGGCTCGCCATAACTCTTTAAAAAATGGTTCGCTCGACCTGCAGTTTATACCATCTGATAGCTCTGCTCGAGATCTACAAGATGGTTAAATTCAATTTCTGAAAGAGCTCCATCTAGGATTGCGCCATGCACTCGACCTCCATCCCGAGAAGTAATGAATATACTTTGTATGTGATGCGCATATAAGTCCTCCTATGCAGCCTGATCATCCCACAGAAACATGGATCTCAACACCCTCAGAATACGCCACGTACCCAACCGGTCCACCATATGGTGAGATTGAATGAATGTTTTTTTTCGAATTTCACGATCTTTAATTCGTTCTAGAGCGCTAATTGGCTAACCGTGCGCTGATCAACCCATTCTTCCACTCCAAATGAGAATCTTCGAACAGTTTCCAGCAGTAGTAGTAGACCTATTATGTGACATTCCCCACATTTAGAGGAGATGATTTGCGGAAACCTGAGAAGATAGCCAGGAATCTCTCCACAGACGTAGACTCCAGTTACTTCTCTGTAAGATTGATGTAGAATATTTGGTCACGGGTAAGCGCTCCGTCCGTGGTGTGGCCCCAAACATCACTCTCCGTCATGCCCTAAAATGAAAATCAGAGTTTTTGCTCTTCCAGATGACTCTACAGAGCTGAGGGGTGCACCGTTCGATTTCCCATGAAAAATACTACCGAATGGTGTACAACTCAGGTTTCACACAAAACTTTGTTTTTCTCACTTTTTTGCTCCCCATTGCCGATCGTCCTCCCAGCCCTTGGCGCCACGTGCGATTTAGCGAGAAATTCTCTCCACCGACGTGGACTCCGGTCACTTGTCTGTAGGAAAGAGGTAGAATATTTGGTCACGGGTAAGCGCTCCGTCCGTGGTGTGGCCCCAAACATCACTCTCCGTCATGCCCTAAAAAAAAATCAGATTTTTTGCATTTCCAGATGAACTCGCAGACCTGAAATGTGCCCCATTAGCTTCCCCGTGAAAAATGCTATCGAATGATATGCATTACTTCCCAGTTGAAACTTTGGTTTTTCACCGTTTTCAGCCTTCCCCTATTGCCATTGGGCATCATTATTCCACTATTACTGCCCAAAATCTCAAAGTTTCATTTTTCGTCGAAACTTTGCCTATTGGGGTAATTCGATGCCCTGATTACGAATATGACATTCATTCTCGTAGTGTGGCCCCAAACATCACACCTCGCCCCATTTTTTGCGACATGTTCCATGTTTAGAGCAGATGTTATGTAGAAAGCTGTGAAGGCAGCGACGAATTTCCTTCACTGTCGTAGACTACGGTCACTTGTCTGTAGGAATTACATAGAAACCTTGGTGGCAGGTGAGTCTTCCTTCCGTAGTGTGACCCCAAACATCACACCTCGTCATGCCCTTGCGATATGATCAGATTTTTTTGGTTCTCCAGATGAACATAGAAGACTGAGATGTGCACCATTCAATTCCCCATAACAAAAATACTGTCGAACGGTATACAACTCACTTTTTGGAGAACATCTAGTTTACCTGCCACTAGATCCATTTTGTGACATTTCCCAATTTTCGAAGGGATGTTTTGAGGAAATTCGAGAAGGGAGGGACGAACTCTCTTCCCTATCGTAGAGTAAGTTTACTTGTATGTTGGAAAAAGATGATACACTCGGGCTTGAGCGAGTGTTTCTTCCCTGGTGTGGCCTCAAACATCGCTCTCCGTCATGCCCTGAAATAAAAACCAGATTTTTTGGTCTCCCAGGTGGCTCTACGGATCTGTGGTGTACACCGTTCGATTCTCCATGCAAAATGCTATCGAACGATATACATCTCAGTTCCCACTTGAAACTTTCGTTTTTCATCGCCTTTTCCTTATCGCCGATCGCCTTCCTCAGCCCTGGCCACCCACGTGCATTCACGTGCGCGGTGCGTGGTGACTTTCCCACGCACTTTCGACACGCATAGCGGTGTATCGATCGGGCTGCCCGCCAGCTACCGAGAAAGGCCATCGGCTGTCACGTGAGCTCTCACGCACCGCGCACGTGAATAGCACGTGGGTGGCCAGGGCTGAGGAAGGCGATCGGCGATAAGGAAAAGGCCGAAAACGGTGAAAAACGAAAGTTTCAAGTGGGAACTGAGATGTATATCGTTCGATAGCATTTTGCATGGAGAATCGAACGGTGTACACCACAGATCCGTAGAGCCACCTGGGAGACCAAAAAATCTGGTTTTTATTTCAGGGCATGACGGAGAGTGATGTTTGGGGCCACACCACGGACGGAGCGCTTACCCGTGACCAAATATTCTACATCAATCTTACAGAGAAGTAACTGGAGTCTACGTCTGTGGAGAGATTCCTGGCTATCTTCTCAGGTTTCCGCAAATCATCTCCTCTAAATGTGGGGAATGTCACATAATAGGTCTACTACTACTGCTGGAAACTGTTCGAAGATTCTCATTTGGAGTGGAAGAATGGGTTGATCAGCGCACGGTTAGCCAATTAGCGCTCTAGAACGAATTAAAGATCGTGAAATTCGAAAAAAAAACATTCATTCAATCTCACCATATGGTGGACCGGTTGGGTACGT